CCTGGACCCATCGGGACCTGGTCTGATCAGGACCTGGACCCATCGGGACCTGGTCTGATCAGGACCTGGACCCATCGGGACCTGGTCTGATCAGGACCTGGACCCATCAGGACCTGGTCTGATCAGGACCTGGACCCATCAGGACCTGGACCCACCAGGACCTGGACTCATCAGGACCTGGACCCATCGGGACCTGGACCCACCAGGACCTGGACCCATCAGGACCTGGTCTGATCAGGACCTGGACCCATCAGGACCTGGACCCATCAGGACCTGGTCTGATCAGGACCTGGACCCATCAGGACCTGGACCCACTAGGACCTGGACTCATCAGGACCTGGACTCATCAGGACCTTGACCCATCAGGACCTAGACCCACCAGGACCTGGACCCACCAGGACCTGGACCCATCAGGACCTGGTCTGATCAGGACCTGGACCCACCAGGACCTGGACCCACCAGGACCTGGACCCATCAGGACCTGGTCTGATCAGGACCTGGACCCATCAGGACCTGGTCTTACCTTCCTGGTCTCCATGTGGATCTGCTGCTGGAAGGAGGTCTTCAGGTCCTGCAGGTCTCGCTGCAGCTCCTGGACTCTGGGATCTGGTCTCTGCTGGTCCTCCAGGAACTCCTGCAGTCTGGCCCTCAGGTCGTCCCTCTCCTGCCTCACCTGCTTGAAGCTGGCCTCTAGCTCCGCCCCCCGGTCCAGGGCCTGTGAGGTGGCGCTGAGGGCGTGGTCRGCGTCGTGGAGGCGGAGCTCTGCGTCCTGCCGGAGGTCTCTCTCCTGCTGCAGGAGGCTCTGCAGCTCCCTGAGCTGCTGGCCGTGGTCTCCCTGCTCCTGCTGGCGCTCGTGCTGCTGCGTGATGACGCGGGCGCGGCTCTCTGCCAGCTGCTGCTGCAGCGAGCTAAGCTCCGCCTCCTGGTGCGCGGCGGCAGCCAGCAGGCGCTCCTGCAGCTCCTCCACCTCCTGCTTCAGCTGACGCTTGTCGGCCTGGAAGCTGGCCTCCATGCGGGACTTCTCCTGGGTCACCGTGGCCAGGGAGGCGGTCAGCGTGCTCAGCTGGCTCCTCAGCTGGACCAGACGACGCTCCGCCTCCACGCTGGCAGGGGGCGGGGCCTGTTGATGCTCCGCCTCCACGCTGCTGCTGCTGCTGTCTCCATCCGCCTGTGGAGAGACGAGTTATTAAACTCRTGGAGCCGACAGAAGAAGTGTTGATCAAAAACAAGATGGTTCCAGGTTTTATGTCGATTTAAAGTATTTGTTACGGTTTACTACAGTATTCTGTTTAAATACTACATAAATGTGACATCAGAGGACCAGCACTACACTGCAGATGTAGTTCTTTGTTATGAAAACAGGAAACAGTTTGTACAAGTACATGATGTCAGATCTGAACTATGGAATAACGTGGAGTTCCTCAGGGTTCTGTACTTGGACCAAACTTTATCTTGTATGTGAAAGACTTGTTTCAGGATTATTTAAAATCATTCTGTTCGCTGATGACACCACCTTTTTTATTTAAGTAAAAACAGAACGAATGTTAGAAAAAATATAAAAAACTGTATTTGTGAAAATATAAAACTGGTTTAAACTCAACAAATTATCGTTAAATTTGAATAAAACTAATTATATGATATTTATAAAGAGTAAAGATTATAACAGTCAGATTATTGAGGGAAAGGAGCAGAAATAATAAATATAATAAATTAATAAATATAATAAAATCTTTTCTTCTTTTCATTTTATTTTACTTTTTATTCACTGAATTATTTTAGGATAAAGTTTAAAATCAAGTAAAAAAAGTAGAAACTGATCTGGTTTTGTTTGGACCGGTCCCAGCTGCTGGACCCACCGTGGAGCTGGACCTCCGAGCCGGTCCTGCCTGGTCCTCCTCAGTCTGGTCCCCCCTGGCRGTCTGACCGGCTGCGTCCACAGAGGACGTGTCCACGCTGTCCTCACTGTGCAGGGACGAGCCGTCCTCCAGCAGGTCCGGACCTGCAGGGACCTCCTGCCTCTGCCGGGTCAGGTCCACGTCCTGGGTCACGGTCAGGACCTTCAGACTGGCCTCTAGGGCCTCCTTCTCCTTCAGGAGACTCTTGTAGGCCCGGACCACGTCCTTGAAGCGGGTCTGGTACTGGACCAGCTGCTTCTTCTGGGACTCGATGGTGTCCAGGAGCTCCTTCCTGCTGGGACCACCTCCGAAACTCATCCCGAACTTCTCCATGTCTGAGAGGGTCTGACCGGGTCTGACCGGGTCCACCTGGGTCTGACCAGGTCTGGACAGGTCCACCTGGGTCTGACCGGGTCTGAACAGGTCCACCTGGGTCCGGTCACACCTGATCCATCATCTGAACAGTGTGGAGCTCTCAGCTGGAGGAAAACCTGAAAAACCAGTTAGTGGACAGGATGAGACAGAGTCCAGTCCAGAACAGAACAGGTCCTGTTAGGTTAGCTTCTTTTAGCTTTTAGCTGTTGTTCAGCTGCTATCAGCTGGTGTTTGAGCTGTAAAACAAGTTCTTCCTGCTGGACTCTCAGGACGGATCAGTTCTGACCTGTCGGACCCTGACCGGTCTTCTTCTTCTTCTTCTTCTTGTTTAATGGCGGTTACCCTGACCGGTCGGATCCGGTTCTTACCTGAAGAAGTGAAAGCGCGGGAAACTCGACCTGAGACATTAAAAAAGAATCACCTGTCGATTCAACCCTGTCAGTGATCAGTCCGTCTACAGGAAACCTGTTAGTGATCCCGGCCAACAGCCGCCATGTTCTTCCACACCGGAAGTAAACGAGCAGCCGGGGGGCGGGGCTTTAATGCTGCGTTCAGAGAAGCTGGGATAAAACAGCTGAGATTTTACGGCWGTTTATAATTAATACAAAACTGAGTTTATATTTAAAGATATTAAACCTAACCATGTCACAAAGATGTGATATTTAATTAGTTTTACTTTCAGAGTCATAAATATGAGTGAAAGGTTATAATTATGACTTTAGATTATAAGTTAAAAGTCAAATTCATATAAAAATCTTAGTAAGTGAAATAAATATGATTTATAATTTGAAACTAATAGTTTTAACTTTTAAAACTTAGATATATAATTTTCTATTTTGATTTAGTCTCATAATAACAATAATAATAAATGTGTATTTTCTAATAATAATTCAACATCTTATAAACTGTTCAATGTTGTGAGTTCACATGTAAAACAGGACATTTTCACTTTTTAATTTGTTAATTTTTACAGTGATAATTAGGACTGAATGTGAGTTTTACCTTTTTACTCTTAGAAATTCATATTTGTTTCAATTCAAACAGGAAATGTGTTTTTTACTTTCCATTTGTCTTTTATCAATTAAAATGTTTATTTATTTACTAATTTTAATTAATTTAAGTGAAAACATAAAGGAAAAAAACAAATACTTGTGAAATGTAATGACAATGTAAAGCTTGGTTTAGTAAAAATGCAGTGATGATTTTCATTTTTTTATTTTGAGCATTTGTTTGTTTTGTTTTTTATTTCTTTTTGATTAAAACATATTTGCTGTCTAAAATAGTTCAATAAAGAAAACTTAAAAAACTAAAGTTTAATACATCAAGGCCCTCTTTTATTTATTGTTTGTTGTTTACTTATTGTTTGTTGTTTATTTATTGTCTGCAGTTGTTTATTTAATATCAGTTCTTAGTGATTTACTGAGGAAAAGCTCATTTGTCCTGATTTCTGTGGGACGCAAACGCAGCACTCAGTGTTGTTCTCGGCGCTGTTAATAAAGTTGTTTGAAAGCTGTGACGTCATTTATTCCGCGTTGGCCTGGACGTGGCAGGGGGGAGGAGCAGCGCCACAGCCCTGTGATCCGCCTGCCTGCCTGCTCTGTTCCCCGGCCCTGGCAGCTCTCTCCCCGGACTGACCGGACCGTCGTCGCTCCCTCCGCCTCGCCGGGACTCTGTGACCGCCATGGGTCTGACCATCTCGTCTTTATTCTCGAAGCTGTTCGGGAAGAAGCAGATGAGGATTCTGATGGGTGAGCGCTGATGCTAGGCTAACTTAGCTCCGAGCTAACCGGTCCGGTACCGGCTCAGATGTCGCTCTGTGGTCCAGTTAATGTGAACAACCGGACCGAGCTGATGTGTTCTGTGTCCCTGAGTCCTGTCAGCTTAAAGTTTTTAATATAAAATTAATAAATCCTGGCGTTAGCCGCTAGCAGCTGCTAACAGCCTGAGCTAACGGGAGGAGCTGAACATCAGCTGCAGTTTAACCTTTAGCTGCTGTCAGAGTTCATCCCATCAACCTGCTTTAGCTCTTTAAATCCTTTCTGTTCACTTCTCTGTTTTCACAGGAAATCAACTGTTTAAAGTCTTTTAAATATTTAACTTCCGGTTTGTTCTGGGTCCTGATTCACTTTATCAACTTTTATTTTGRAAGCGTCTGAAAGTTTATCTGTAAAACAACAACAAGCAGCAAGAAACAGAGAAAAATCTGACATTAAAAGCTGAAAACAAACAATAAACTCA